TTAAGTTGAAACAATTCCTCGAAATACAAAGTTTTCGTCGACCTTAGTGTTTTAATATCAACTATGTATACAACATATTAATTATTTTATTCTAGTAACGACGAAAAAGAAGTATGAGATACTTATATAAAGTATAAATATATTTTTTTGTACTTTTTTGCCTGGCGGCACACAAAGTATAGCACTTGACGAAATTTTTAAGTCAAAAGAAGCATTTAATTGTCGTTTTAATTACCGTCGATATAATGCAAGTTTTATTAACGCTTGTTCTTCTTTCAAATAAGTCTTTTATGCGAATATGCATTTTTTTATGTGGTATGCATTGTTTCCCTGTTTTCTTTCATGTCAGAAGCAGAATAATGTTATATAACTCATTGCAAAGTAAAAATATGCACTCATTCATTTCTCACGATAGTTTATTTTATCGTTATGCTGTAATTATTATTAATTATATGTTGCGCATATGTATAATACATGTTTATTAGATCATCTTATGGTGTGTTATCAAAAATTAACAAAATTGCAAATTAATGATTTTTGTAAATTCATATAAAGTATTTCGTAATGCGAAAACGATGAACGTGCAAATGATTGTCGAAATGCATAGAAATGTTTGAGCCGATATCTATCCGTACATTCGTTTGCCAAGCCTGGATCTATTCATCTATTTTTATCAGACTTGGCGATATCAGTTATTTGCTTTTTGCAAGAATTTCTTCCGAGCGACTTCTCGATTTTTGCTTACCACAATAAAACCAAATCGGCATTTTGGCATCGCTGATCTTTCAAAAGAGAAAATGAAAAAAAATTGGTAATTTGTTGCCGTCGAAGCAATCGCTCTTCTTTAAATGACCCATTCCATTTCGCGATAATCGAATTTTGCAATTGTCGAAAAGTAGTTCTGGATTGTCGCGTCGTCCGATAATCCTTGTTGCATCTGCCGCAAGAGAGAAAGAGGAATGTGGAAATAAATTGTACGGCTGTTCTGATAAGCGGTTGATCCCGCGAAAATGAAAAGACCGAGTAGTCCGTTTGTTATTTATAGCCCATCCTGATTCGGCTCGGTATGAAACGGTTTTCGGGACGAATCGACCGCTGTCCTATATCACGCGCGATTGCGTTAAACCGTGCATGTCAAATCTATCTCTTGATTCATGGGCTACACGAGCAATTTCCGCCTTTGTCGAGGTCGTTGAGCCGTAGATTACAAGTTAACTCTAAACTTGCCAATTTATTTTACAAGATACATATCTTTGTTTTTTTATTATTTGAAATTTTTTTTTCGCACTCAGCTAAAATATAGAACAACGCAATGTTTGTGTGGTTCTTTCTTTGTGAAAGTAGATCTTTACGCTTTTTAAATTACAAATTATCTTGCACAATTATTTTAAAATAAGTCACTAAATTTGGCAGAGACAAGTTCTTTGATGATTTTGTTCTTTAGTTTAGCGGAAATTTTTATTAAAAATTAATTCAGTCTTAGAGATAGAAATAAATAACAAGAACTTTATTTTTATTTTAACTGAATCTTATTTTAATATAATTTTAATTTTTCAACAAACCATTGAAATATAGGCTAATAAGAGCGTGTGCTAGTTATTGTTGCTCTTTATTCATACATTAATTAAAAGGTGTACAGACGTTTCGGCTTATGGGTTATAGCTATCATCAGTGTACAATTAAACTTAACTGCTATTTTTGCATGAAATTGACGTAACAAGCTGATATTAGGTTGTGTTTGAGTGTAGTCTGAGTTTTTCTTCAGTGTGTGTAAATTCTGTGTAACGTTTACACACTAAAGAAAAACTCGGACTACACTCAAGCACAACCTAATATCAGCTTTTTACGTTTCGTGCGAAAATAGCGGTTAAATTTAATTGTACATTGATGATGGCCATAAGCCGAAACGTCTGTACACCTTTTAATTAATGCATGAATAAAGAGCAATAACTAGCTCACGCTCTTATTAGCCTATATCTCAATGGTTTATTGATTAATAATTGAGAGCTCAGAATATAATCTTATTGTAATTATTTTTTCTTTTTCCTGTATTTAATTTTTCAATTAAAATACTTAATGTAAAAAGCCATTTAATCAAATTTTTACTACGTAAAAATTAAGTTTAAAATTATAAAAAATATTGTCGATAGTTTGCTTTAATCAATATGTCGTATATGTATCAGCTTTTTAGCCTATTTCTTCGTATCGATCGTAAATGACCCAAATCAATCAAACGTTCCACCGTGCCGCAGCATTTATAGTAAATGTACTTCTTTGCCTTCGTTCTTCGAGTCTCTCTCTCTCCTCTTTTTCCCGTCAGATCCGCTGCCGGCGGTGTCGCGACGTTGTTGCGTTAGTGAACCGTATGAATGACGGCGCCGGTAATTAGGTTGCTCGTTTCTTTCTCGCACGTATTGTGCACACTTCTCCACGATATGTTTATCGCGGTTTCGCCCCAAGTGATGACTTAATTATCGGCTGTACAACGAATTGGTTGGTTGTACAACGAATTGGTTGGTTATACAACAACGTGCTCCGCGTTAATTTTGCAATCGCACGGACATCATAATCACAGAAGTTGTCGTACAGCGTACGAACATGAATTGGATGCCGGCGAATGTCGGCCGCCGCGCGCAAGGAAAATTCATGTGAAATTAGCCTGTCAGCGCGGAAAGAAGCAAAGGAAATCTTCGAGACGCGGGGAAATTAAATAAAAAGGTCTGCAACAAAACTCGACGCGTTATCCCGGCGAGGTTTCCTTCGGAGACTTGGCTTCTCACACTTTCCGTGGTCTTCTCTTCTATTGTTATGGCATATGTGGAATTGAAATTTCAAGAAAGCGTGGAATATCGTGCATGCTTGTTTGCATTTTGATTTTGATTGCACATATATTTCTCATTTCATCGCAAAGTTAATTTGAATACTTGAGGAATTGTTGCCGATATAAAAAATTGCACGGAGAATTTATTCATAGGAATTATTTCAATCCTATTGCTTTGATAACGTCGCGACAGTGCGATTTGATTTCTTGTGCGCATACGCGCGTATGTGGAATTGAAGATTAAGTTTATCTCACTGTGTCTTTCTCTCCCGGTATTCAATTTGGTGGAAACGCTATCACAACGTGTTGGGGGTATCTTCTCAATAAGACGCGGGCTCCCGTATGTTCGTACAGTTTAACCATGAACTACGACTTTTGACAAAGTTCGAGTGTAAATCTCTAACACGAAGGGCTGATTATAACGAAACTGACAAAGACACCTGCGTCTAACACAGGAAATGTTGATTAAAGCCGGGAGGCTTTCCTTTGACGCGGAAGTTTCGAATTTAATCTCTATCCCTTGCGAGTGATCGAAGAGCTGTTTTCTACGCGTCAGTGACGCGTGAAATGACATTTTGATCCCAATTGCAAAATGACTAGCTAAAAGAAACTTTTTTTTATTTGTAAAGAGAATTGCGAGGGGAAGTTTGCTCCGATGTAATTAACATAATTTCCTCACAAGTTCTTATTTTCTTATTTTATAAATTTTTCAAGTTCTTATTTTAATAGTTGATATTTTAATAGTTGATCGTATTTCTTTTAATTTCTAGCAGTACTAGAATTCTATAATGGAAAATGCATTTGACAGAATATTGAAAAGTTAATTAAAATTATTGATGAATATTTTAATTTAACACATTAGAAGATAGCGAAACTCGCGTATTTTTCACTTTGTAGTGAAGAAACTGACGAATTTTTGTAAGGTTAAAAAAAATGGATAACGTTTTTTATTATAAATTAATGATCAATTTGTTTCCTACGTGGACGATAAAAAGCTGAAATAAAAAGAGAGGGTAAAGTGAAATTGGAAAATGAGGATAAAGTAAAATTGGAAATTTTCATTATTTTATCCTAACGACGTACTCGTTTGTATATATTTTACTCATTTTGCAATTCTAGGATTAAAGAAGGGTGCGAAATCGGAGTGAAACACAGCTAAAAAAGCGCGCTTTCCCGATAATTCATTAATCGTTTTCGAATCGCGTAGATGTCTCGTCGTCTTACATCGCTACATAAATAGCAATCATTAAATCGCATTACGTGTGCCCGGAATACGTTTACAGAGCAGAACGAGGGTCGTGGAAACTGGAGTAGGAGGAGGAGGAGGAAAGCCAACGAAATCTCAGGCTTTCGCGTTCCAGGCGCATCGCGTACGTGCCTGCACGTGCTCTTACCACTTGCAGTCGGATATTCCGGCGCAATTACTACACTATTTGACGGATTAAAGCGTCCCTTTCTACCCGTGCGAGATTTCGTCCGATATAATTGCATGCGTGGTATATGTGTGATTGTTTAATCATTCCGTATTGCGGATTATATCTTGGAAAACGTCACTAATTAATCATTCAATACCTGCTTACGCAATATTACGCTTATCAGCAACAATAAGCCGCATATCACGAACACAATATAACGTTAATATCTCGATAACGCAATTATCTCGTTAAATCGATATAATCCGGATCTCGAAAGTCTGCCGTGAAAAAAATTTCTAGATTATCGAGAGAAAAAGACAGAAATATACAAAATACCGGTATTTATATTTTTAATCTAACATGTACAGCTATTCGCGAAAGCATTTGGATGAATTATATTGGATTTATTCGGATGAATAAAACGATTATATTTGTATGTTATAATGATTTTATTAAATAATGTACGCATCTATAATCTGCCATTTTTTAAGTAGCTTTATAATACCGTTCTTAAAAACTTGTATATGAACAAACAATAACACCATTATTTTTGAAAAATTTATTTATTATACCATCAAATATTATGTAAAAAGACAAAAGATGTTTTGTCAAACATAAATACACTTGTATATTCTCTAACATCAGAAGTAATAAATTACAATTTCTAAATTGCATTTAGCCTAATAAAATTGACGAATAAAAATCTTATGCCCTTTTCCCTTTTGTACAGCATATACTCATGTATTATAATTGATCTGTTACAGATAGCAAAATTGTTCTCTTACACGTGGACCATGGGCCTCTTTCTATGCAAAGCAGTACATTATATGCAGAGCGTGTCGGCTATCTGCTCGGTCGTCACTCTCACCGCAATGTCGATCGAGAGGTAAGATTATTCGTATTGCTTTGCCCGTGCGAGAACTATTGGCGCCGATCGATTATGCATCGCGGTTATTATAATCGTATGTAAATCGCGGGCGGATCAGACGGACAGTAAACATCGATACTACCGCAAAAAGATCCGCAAGCATCCGAGGTAAAGGGAGGTAGCGCAATACTCATTCTCATAAAATATTGTGTCGTAACAATTCGCATAAATTATTCAAGCCGATAGCGCGTGCTTGATTTGAATCGATATATATATATATATATATCGGGTGCTGTTCTAAAATTGCATGCTTAATTTAAAAGCTCGCCGGGAGCACCGTGCATCAATCAGATGTGTGACGTTTTATTGTAGAAAAAAATTGAGAGCAATGACATAAATTTTAATAGGAAGCTTTTATGTGACAATGAAATGTGTTTATTAAACTGTTACTTTCTACAATAATAATTTTATTAGGTATTTCATCATATAAATAGATCTTGTCATCTTCAAGATTCGTAAAGTAACGTTTGTAACAGGAATTATATTCAATCAAAGAAAAAGTAAAAGATAAATACATAGCTGCTCTCTCTATCTCTCTTTTTTTCTCTACGCAACAACAAATATAATCAAATTACTGCGAGCAATATAGATAGTGGAAAATCCAGTGCGCGAATAAATTGTTATAAAAATACGAGAGGTACGATGCTTTGTAATGCAATGCTGTGCTGTGTTATCAAAGCGTAAAAACTAGGTTGTACAAATTTTTTGGCTGTCGAATCAAAGCTTTTTATTACTGGTGCCTTGTATTTCGCACTAATTCTTGGATATCATAATTTCAAGGTAATGCTGTGTAATGCAGAGGTTGAATTTCAATATTACATTACAACGCCCAGTTTCAATTAATTCTGCAGGATTACTGTGCATCTCATATTATTTGTATCGCACGTATAGTGCGACAATTCCATGTTATAGATATTGCTTTAAGTTTAATTTTTTTAAATGTTACTTTTAATTACTCACATATTAGTTACAGTTTGCAATTTATGGTATTTTATCTATATTACATGTATAATAATATACACATATATATTACATTTTGACTTGCTGATAGACTTTTGAAATACCGCATATATTATATTCATAAAGAGAAATTCAAATCTTTGCTAAATGTAATGCGCAGAATATACGTAATCTGAGTTGTAACGAATATTAAAATCCGTATATAGTAAAGAATATCTCATTTTTTTGGTCGCTATTTAATTTATTTCATAGCAATTTTTGTAATAATACTGTCTGAAGTAATACAATTTGAATTTTTATCGCGCGGGCGTCGTGAATTTTACCGTACAAACTGCGGCACATCGCGCACCGGTGTTTAAGAGCAGTTGTGCTCTTCGACCTTCTATCGAGAAGAACGCCAGAAGCGTACCCTTCCGATTGCCTGAGACGCGAGAGATCTCCTTTTATTTCGTTCCAATGGCGTATTCGCGCTGTATAACGATCCTTGCTCCTCTCCTTCTCTCGCGATTGAACCTTGCCGCGCACGATTGGGTGACGACAACGGGAAACACTTTGAAACTGAATATCCGCCATTAATCCGAGCACTTTACACCGTTCAACGGGGATCTAAGGGAACAACTAACGGAAATCACCCTGGATGTTTGTTCTTTCTCTCATTATCCCTGTACAACCGAAGGGCGGCGGGAAAGGATTTTCTACCGTTTTTCCTCGCGCCGTCTCGGATTCTAACGCGCGGCGTTCTCATCCCTCGAAGTTAAATGAGATTACGAGAATTCCGACTATCGGAGCACTGTCGGATATCCGGAGGAATTAATTATGCAGCTCTGTCTGGAACACAGTTGTTGCATTTCCGTGGAAGAGCCGCGGCGCGTGTAGTAATTACAGCAGGCGCCACGGTCGAGCTTCGAGCTACTTGGCGTCCAGCCAGGGATGACAGTCCCTTGATCCCTGCAAAAGGAAAGAATACAATCGTATTCTTTTTTCCAGACGTATCCAGGTCACTAGCTAATAACGTTGTAATCTAATAATGCTCATTTTTAAAGATTGTCTTAAGCTTCCAAGTGGAAATCGTATTACAAGATTCTTCAGTTGTTTCAATTTTTTTTAACTGTATTAATTTCTTCTTCCTTTTTTGTTCCTTTCGAAGACGCGATGAAAAAATTTCGAATTACGTGATGTAAAATGACGCCACTTAAAATAATTTAATTACAAAATCTCGAAAATATTTCGAGATAGAGAGAGCCGCAGTGATGTGAAACGCGCGAAGATTCGCTCAACCATTTTTCTCGTAATTAAAGCAGCTTTGTAAAATGAAACAGTAAGTTCGCACAATGTCATGACATGTTCAACCTAGTTTTATAAGTGTAGCGCATAAATTTGTTGATTGTCGGAAATACTCGTACACGATGCATCAAACCGATTTTGCAATTCACACTTTTCCGTTATGGCTTGCTATAAATTTGAGAAATTGTTATTTCTCCCTTACAGCTTTGTTTTGTGCTTGAACATAACAAGTTTAGATTTATTCGTAAGCTAGTCATAGAAAATATCTTGAATTATTCATCGTGACATTCCGATACATTTGCAACTAAGATTATGAAGAATTTTGTTTTATGATGTTTCGTCGATACCTCGGTTTTTTAATAACGATAAAATTGATTTTAAATTGAAAGCTTATTACCGAGTCAAATTTAGCGCTAAAATTAAAATTGCAGATTCCGAGTATACTATTATGAGTTGCTTCGAGCATCATCGGGTTATTAGCAGTAATTTTATTCTAGGGGCAATGTTCATTCGATATTTGCTTGTTAGGAATTTAATCCGCAGCGCATAATTACTAAACAAGCCGTTTAATACGAACTATCGATCTGTAAAATGTCAAAGCACTACAATCAGTCAGGTCGCACGTAAGCCGCTTAAATAAACCTAATTTGCCAGTGCAGCAATGGCCTAGCAAGCGCGATAAAATCAATAGTTGCATGATGCTACAATCAATGCATAGAAAATATCAGCATATACGACTTTATTAAATACCACAAAACACAATTATTCGTAGAATTTTAAAAAATTACAAAATAAACTACGGGTTCTTTTAATATATTTGTGCACATATAATTTCAAAATTGTTAAAACAATAGGCGCTCCTTTATTATATGACAAGATTATAATAAGATATGCACGAAGGCAGATGACGTATTACAATCTGGCTAACTAAGGAGTGCCTTGTCTGTAAATTTAAGCTTATATGTATTGAAGACCCGTAAAAGATCCGAGTTACTTCGTAAAATTTCACAAGAACTTTTTCGAATTTTATAACGCATTGGACGAACCGTATATTGTCGTTTCAGTCTTATATACTGATATTATTTCCCAAGTCAACGTGTTGCGAATACGTGCAGAGTATTTCTTATCGACCGTGCTTCCTTCCATTGGTGGAGAATTCATTGCATCAGTGAATAAGCAAAGACTATTTATATGTTTAAAATATTACCGTGATATTGGATTTACGTGTTCAGCATCGTACTAAACGGCTTTACAATTTTTTCGCGAAATTCATCAAAATGCGTTTCGAACAAATCTTAGCATACTTTCATAGATACGTCTTCTACATATCTAGTTTGTCTGAAATGCTTTTTGCATAATTTAAAAGTGGAAATTATGCAATGGAGGAGTGCTAAATTTGTCAAATTTGAATCATTACCGTCGAAATGATGATCGAGATATGTCATGTTATGCATGCTAACAAAGACATTTGTACCGAATAGAAAACCTAATATTAAAACAAAAATTTAAAATATCCGTAAATAAATTAAAAGTTGCTTGTATTTTATGCTCTTTTTTTAAATACGATAAATACGTATTTTTTCATTTTCGAAGAATAGAAATTACAAAGATTAGAGAAGTGTGATGTTAATCATTGAGTCTGTAAATGACTGGAACGAGTATTGAAAATGTTGTGACACAACAAATGTTTATCGATCTTTCAAATAAAATAACTTCAATGTTCTTTTCTTCACGATAAAACAAACGGAAACTTGACCTAAACTCGACTGTAGTTTGGACCAAACAAGGAATGTTACTTTTGCCAAGTTTTAAAGCTCCCTTAACTCTTGATAAGACATGTGGAATCTTTTAAACTCCAACTCATGTTTGAATTTTGTTTCAGTTACTGTTTGTACAAAAAATAAATAAATAACTTAAGATATTAATTTTAATGGAATAATTTATTTTTTATTTTTTATGGTTTTGAATATTTTAGATAAGAGTATGGTTTTGAATACTTTAGAGATACAAGTAATTAACATGATGTTCAAAAAATCATTCGGAAAAATCTAAAAATTATTTAATATCGTTAGTTGTTTGACTTTTTGCACATTATTCCAAAATATTCTCGAAAACTGAAAAAAATTCTCGTCGGAATGCGAAAACGTGACAAAACGCGAATGCGAACGATCAACAGCAATCTCGTGCGATCATAAAACGTGTACAATTTTGCGGATGATAAAAAATTCGAAAATAGTGACCCGTTCGTTTCATTTGACGCTTCATTTGACTCACTCGCCATTATTAGGTGCGCATTTGATTGGCGCGAACATCGGTTGCAGCGTGCAATTTGTATTCATGATGACGATAATACCGCTGCCGAAAACAAGGCACAAGGCGGCTGTTCAGTCTTCTCTTTGTTCCCGTTGCACGCGAATAAAAAGAAATCCGGCGGAAACGACGGACTCCACAGAATACGGTATAAATGCTTCGACCGATTTTCCGCCCTATTACGCGATTTGGTCTACCTACGCGCTTATTATATTTTTGTTCTTTTTTTCCACGTTACGATTCGACCTGTAAGACTTTCTACAAAGCCGCGACTTAACTTTTCTCAGGCTCTTATTTTGTATTTATATGCAGTTTTGCACGGGTGCTTTTTAGTGTTTATGACAGCTCTCGTAAGGTACGGCTTACAACGGAACATTACTGAGTCTGAAACCCTTGTTTTAATAAAACCTAAACATGATACTCTACTCTCTCCATATAGGGGTTATTATCCCTGGGGGTTGTTTATTATTTTTCCAAGCTTTTAAGTAGATTTTTTAATCAATTTAGAGTCAATTTTTTCTGCGAGAATGTCAAGAGATTATTATCATTTACTGCAATTTCTTAATTATATCAACATTGTATATCTATAATTAAGGCTAAAAATTAAATTTTTGCTTATTTAAAAAATTAAATTAAAAATCAATATTCCTTAATTCAAAATTGAAGAATAGTTTTATCTGATTTATTTTCTAGTGCTTAGTTCAATAAATAATTCTTATTTTCAATAATTAAATTACTAATTAATAATTCAATAATTAAATTCTTATTTTCAATAATTAAATTACTCGAAAATTACTCGAAAAGATATGTCGATATTCTCATTTAGAAACAATTAGCATTAAAATAGTCTGTTAGTAAAAATAGAAGAATTGAAATAAAATAGAGCAAGAAAAAAATAAAACTAGTCAATTTTGCAATGTTTTTAATAAAATTATTTTATTTTGTTTATTTTGAGAGAAAAAATTGTTATACATTTTTGTGATAAAATTAGACATTTTTCTATTAAATATTGTTGAGATTATCTGTAGAATTTTCTCTTTGTTTTGGATATAGCTATCTTAAATAAACTTATTACTTATTAATAGCAAATTTCTAAAGAAATTTGGCGAGTGTATACTTCCAAATATTTTCTTTGATTTCGTGATAAGACTGTATATACCATAATATAGTTGGAGGTTATAAAAATATGTTAAATATTCATGGTAGGAAATAGTTGGTTTTCCTCGAATTTCCACTCCAGTCGTACAATTTCGTGATGCAATGATTATTTCGAGATAATCACTTTGACAAGAATATTAGAGCGACATGATTTCGCGAATGAAATGCTGTGCGGCTCAGTTTTTTCTGCTGTCTTCTCTGACTGAGTATTATTACATTTTCACACTGCAGGCATAATATGAAATATCTCAGATTAATATTTGCGACGCGTAAATGGCAATTCGTAAAAAATGTACCTCACCAGACGAAATAGAATATTTTAGATCTGGCCTAAATAACGGTGTGAAAATAAATGCAAAGAAATAATGCAAAAATTAATATATAAAATTTTCTCAGAATTATTTCACAATTGTATTTTAATTAATTAATGATTAAATTGCTCGTTAACGGAGTTTTTAATAAAACCATGTATTTATTTTATTGAATATTATCTTAATATCTCATTTTAACGGATTTTTATTAAAATACATTTTTACGTTTTATTTTTTGTTTTACCATTAATGGAGATTTTTAATAATTTTCCACTTTATTTTAAGACATATGCAATTAAATATTATTGTAGATATATATTGATTTTTTAAAGGATGCATGTTTTAAGCTGCTTAAAATAATTCTGGTAATGTTGTTTCAGGTATTACGCAATAGTGCATCCAATGAGAGCACAATATACTTGTACTATAAGCCAAGCTCGCAAGATCGTGATTATAACTTGGATCGCAGCGTTTCTATTGGGAATTCCGATGGTGTTTACACAGGTACGTGTATTTTCCGCCAAAATTAAAGTTGATTTTTCCTCAACAAAAATTTGATCGCTATTCTATCATTAATTTTTTCATTGAGTTGTGCCATAAATAACTTCCGCTTATATTTACTGCCGCGATGGAAGTTATTTATAACGCAATCTAATTAAATACAAGTCTAAGAAGGCAATTTATGAACGCAGCTTGAATATATAACGGCAAATTGTTAACTACAAGTATTGAAAAAAAATAGATACGGTTACGTAGTTTCAATTCTGAAATGAGATCGGGTCAGTAATCATCCCAAAAAAAAATATCGGGGTAGTATTGTTGGATTCTGCCCTTTAATATTCGTATATTCGTATATTCGGTCGTTTCGATATATTTTGCAATACTCTCACACACACACACACTCAATATATTCGCAATATTTTACTCTTATATACATGTGTGCGCGTGACATATGTACATGAAATACGAGAATGATACGCCCCGCAGTAATATGTCCGATAAAGATGATACGCCCAACTTCGCCCACTTAGTTTGAAAAAAAAACGCGGTTTATCTGAGCGTTAAAAAGATACGTTGCTAAGCCGAGATAATCGGCCGCGTAGCGGAAAATCGAGGGAATTCAACGTGATTGGATTTCCACCTGGCGGAAGCTTCCTCGGAGCTTGCAACACTTCTCAAGATAAGAAGCTTAATGTATCCTAATGCTCTGTTATCTGAATGTACAAGATATTTCAGAGTTCTCGATGTTATAATGTTAATAACGGTTATATTCACCCTTCTAGATTTAATGTTAAGAATTCACCTATTTAATCTAGAATTATTTCATTTTAATTCAATTAAAGATTATCTCACGTAATATTATCTTGAGTCCAGGCACATTTAGCATTAAATATGAGTGCTGCTTGGATTTTTCTTTTGGAGATCTTTGAAGTCGTTGATTAAATAATTTGCAAAATTTATTTTTTACGCAAATTGAATTTGTGCGTTTGATTGAAAATTGTTTGCAAGATAAAAAACATTTTTTATGCCGAGCTATAAGCTAATTTCGATTTTCTCTTTATAATGAAAAATATTGATTCAATGGTTATGTAAGAGGATTTATTTGTGGCAACCTTTTCTCTTATTCTATAATATTCTCTTATTCTATAATATTACATATTTCTCGACGATATCGGAGATAAGCCGATTTTAATAATGACGTTAATCGGGACATAGAATTTAATTTCTTTCTCTCTTTCTTTTTCTCTCTTTACACAAGAGATTTATAAAAATGAACTAAAATTGTTATTTTATAAACATGTAATATTTTTGAATTGAAGTTAACCAGTGGACTGTTACGAGAAACTCGCAAAGGAGTAGATAAAGAGTTGAAATAAATGAAATTTTTACGTAGGTCTTTGACATAAAAGTTATGAGCTACCGAGAATAAAATGTGAAAGAAGAATGCAGTGCCCGAAACGAAAATGGTTTTTCATTCTTTGTAAAGCTTTAACCAAGCATTATTCATAAAGAGAAAAAATAAGCAATATGCTGTGTCGTAACGTTTGCTTTAAACGCAATTTTTTCTGCCTTAAGCAAGATAATAAACGAGACATCTTAATTTTCCTTATCTAAAGTATTTATCAAAAACTAATGAAGATTCCTTATCTAAAGTATTTATTAAAAACTAATGAAGATTTCTTATCGTTTGCTTTACCTCGAATCTGTGAAATAACCTTGTTTAAAGAGTTTGTTTTAATAATGGATTTTATGTCATTTTTTAAAATTTGGTTTCAAGTATTGTAAATAGTGATAATAGAAATATTTGGAAATTCGAGATTTACATTTCAAAATTCGTATTTCGAAAAGTCATTCTTTTCCTAATTTGAATTATATGACTTGTCACTCATTTTTAATTTTATAAAGGAAATCGTGAAAATAAAATAAATCCTTTCAATCTGTCATATTTTTCGAAAAACATCCAATTACGGTTTTCGTCGAATGCTGCTTCCAGCAGCCGTGCCCGAAGAGAGTCTTGTCGTAAAGAATTAATAAGGCGTGGGTGCGGGACGTTGATCCTTTTTACGGCGCTAGTGAGGTAAATGACGAGGGAGCGATAAAAAGCTCTCGCATATCGGCGAAATCTTATCGTCGGCATATGTAAATGCCTGTATAACGACTTAATAAACGTAGCTACGGGGCGGAGGGCAAGTTATCCGATACGAGAAACGTGTCTTTACACGCCTCGTTTATATCCCGAGGCACGTGGAGGAGGATGCCTCATATCCTTTACTCACCTCTGTTTTCCAGACGCATAAAAAAGTCGGACTGAGATTGATCGCCTACTGGTGCGTTCGCGACTCTCAGGCTGGTCTCCTGTGGCGGGCTCACGAGGTCTATATGCTCGTTTTGGTCCTCGTGCTGCCGCTGATCGTCATGGCATTCTGCTATACAACCATTTGCTGGGAGATCTGGCGCGTTATGCAGCGCCGGTATCACATGACATCGCGACACGCGTAAGTCCGGAGACCATTTTTTTTCATCCTTTGTCTGAGCTTTGCTGATAAGTATTGAATACACTCATCTCGTATTTTCCACAAAAAATTCCGCCCGAAAAACAAATCCTTCAATTCTTACATCGTAAGATTCATGATTCGCCAGCGACGGACTCTTAAATTCAGAAAATATAGAAAGGTAATTAAATTTTTCTATTAAAAATATGTTGGCATACTTTGTTGTTTCTATCAATAGTAAAGAAGATAAATAGAGTAATATTGCTGAAAATATCAATTTTAAATTAATTAATAAAACCAATTTTAGAAATTGTATACAATCGGCTGCTGATTAAACTTATAATGAAAACGGATCATTAATTTTAATGTCATTATCTCGTAAAATGTGCAACAAATACGCGTGTTTTGATATTTAAGCGATTAAATTCTACTGCTTATTTCTGTTCAATAATCACCCTGAATCCGATTTGCGTCGGCTAGTAATTTATGTGTGACGTTCGTTATCGTATCGTGTGGATGCAGACGTGGTAATTCGCAAATGGGCGCATAAACTGTTATTTGCCTTTCACAGTAACAGCCCTAAAGCGATCGAAAAACGTGTTTCTCGTCCATCTGTATAAAATGTCGATTATCTCCTCGTGAACGTCAATCCCCGGACATTGTGGGCAAGCGGAAAAAGAGAAATGTCATTTTTTGACATTTGATGGACATTTCGCGGCGAGACGCGCCAGCGATTTAATATACATTGCAACTTGATAGTTGGATTTTTGGAAGCCCGTTGCAAATTCATATCGAGATCGATTGATAATAATACGAAGAAGCTCGTATTTCTATTTGTAACATATTTTACGCGTGTGTCGTTTTACAACCGTTGTAATAACGCGACTGTGATCCCTTTGCCATGATTGCTTGGGTAATGCGAGCGAAAAATGACAGGGCTTGCATTTCATGTTACCTTTAAATCCGTGCCGAGGAAATAGCACAATTTTATTTCTTCACGATCTGAATTTATTTCCGCAAGTAAACAGATGTCAATTTTGCCTTGTCTTTATTTTATTACCGCGGTTTATTACAATTCATTTAAATTATTTGCAAAGTTTTATGACGTTTACAAAAATATAGTTTGTTAATTATAACTGCACATCGCGTTCTGAGTGTGCGGAAAATCGTCGCAAAATATTAGATGAAATCTGGTTAAAATATTAAAAGGTATTAAAAACGAGACAGGAAGTTTTAATACAATTTTTTACTACGGTCTAATTACGTGGATAAAATATCATTTACTCTGTTTAAAGTAGCAAGTCGTGTATTTTTTTTTTTTAATCAGAAATAGTTTTTTTTTAGAAATACCATAGAAAGACTCATGCGCTTAAATTCTCACGCTTGTTGTCATTACGTACATACACGCAGCGGTATTTGACTGAGGCAGGAAGCAAACTGTCGGTCACGGGTACAGTCGCATCGCCGATAGCGTTGCTTCTTTGGAAAGTGCAGCCCGCAGGCAATTCGCTTGAAATAGAGATCGAGGGCGATCGGGCAAATGTGATGCAGGAGTGCGCTTGCACTTTATAACTTGACTTGATTCGATTCACCGTCTTTCGCGTGAAATATCTTCACAAATGCGCGTCTTCAAGTAACTGCTTGACATATTTACGAATAGCTCGAGGAATCTTTTTGTTGATGATTGAAGAACTGTTATTTTTCGAGAAAGATTTAAATTGTACGATAAATTGAAGTTTATCTCTGAAGAAATTAGTTCTTTTAATATAATATTGCATAATATTTTGATTGCATATATTTTTTCTACTTTGCTGCTGAAAAAGAAAGAAATTGATTTAAGATTCTTTAAAGTCGAGCCTTTGAACTTGCTGGCAAAAATTAAAGGCGAACATATTAAATATAAATATTTAAAAGAAAGAATTCTTTTAAACTAATAATAATCTAGATTAATCGAGAAATGTGATAGACTTAAATTAGTTAGATGACTACTTACACATTTTTTATTAATTAAAATCAGAAAATTTCAAAGCGGAAAATTGAATATACATTTAATTTAAATATGTAAAGAAATGCATTTTAACTATTGATTGCCATCACTTCTAAGATATACTACATGTTACAATTAACTTTTATTAAATTAACGCTTATATTTGCATAAGAAGGTCGCTACTTCAAAATATTCTCCGACACAGAGTCTTAATATATCGACTAACTCAAAGAAATTCCTAGAGATAAAGTTGCTGTCATATGCAACATCAAAGAAAATTCCACGGAGTAGTGCTATAACGCAGTTACTGCATGCAATATTTTACCAAGATGAAAATTTCTATTTTCCATATGAAGCGCCTATTCCGGATATAAATTTAGCAATTTCTTTTGCAAGTGTTCCTTTGTATTTTGCAAGCACTCTTTCTAAATCTGTAAATAATTTTACGCAGTATATAATTTGACGGTGAAAATAAAAGAAACGCGACAAATGATGATTTCAGTTTATTGCCAAGAAAAATCATTATCGATTTTTCAGACAATTTGTGCGTAGGATGCTCTAAAATAAATAGATCAAATTTTAATCATGAATTTATCGACGTACCTACTTAGAATCAATATTATACCACTTTGTGCACATCACTTCTATAATTGCTCAAATATCTCGGTAATGTTTCCTAAAGCTTAGTGAATCCCTAATAATTGATTTATTTTTAATCCATCGATTTATGAACGTACACCTCATATTATGGCGCGCACAGAATTGGCGTACAATCAGAACGCGATCCGCTTTTCCTCCTAAAACAGAGTGGAGTTTTAATCTGTTTCAGATTAAATCCAAACAGCATGGATACAGAATCTATTCCCATGACGCAGCGGCAGAGTGGAAACGAACGCAGACCGCGTCGGGATGACAACGATGAAGAATCACGGACTATGAAGCAGGTTTGACTTAATCTCTCATTATTTCTCTTTTATGTAATTTGACTCGAAAACGATAACATTCGAAACTAATTAATAATTTGATCAATTTATAATTGAATTTGTTATATTATTTCTTAATAATTTGGTATTTATTAGTCATCTTGTATCATCAGTCATCTTGTATCATAGTCATCTAGTCATCTAGTCATCATGTCTGAAGGCGCGGAAATTTTAGAATTGTCTTAAAAATATTTCTCAACGATAAACACAATTAAATTAAATGGTGTTTCTTAAAGATCACACATCGTAATTGAGATTAAACTGGCGAGGACTAATATATCCCGAGCTCTGAATAGCTTCGCCTATACTGTTTGGCTATTTGAACCCGAGCTATATTGGTACACTGGTCGACTATATTGGAACATTCGCGCACCGCGGGTACATTGCGATGCGTATTGCTTCTCGTAAACGTCGAAAAACTGCTCTCACTACTCTATCCCGTATTGCCGAAAGGTGGTGAAAATGCTGGTGGCCGTCGTGGTGTTGTTCGCTATTTGCTGGGGCCCGATTCTCATTGACAACGTGCTGACCGCTTATGGCTACCTTCCGCGCATCAAAGACGGGCCGCACAAACACCTCAACACCGCGTTCCAGCTGATGGCTTACTTTAATAGGTATGACGGTTCGACTTTGAAATTAAACTCTTGGGTGTCGTTAATTTAAAACCGACCTACGACGGTCTTAGTTTTCACGTGATCGCGCGGCTTGCGGCTGCCTCCAGGGGATCGTTTGCAAGCTCGTATTATCAGTAGAAAAAGCACTTCGCTAGTCAGACGCCAGTTACGTTCCGCTAAATAAATTGTACAACGCATGACTTCGTTTAAAGTCTAAAGTATGAATATGGAATATAAAGTTCGAATACAAATGTGAAATATCAAATCGTTTCTTGATTGTGGCATTCATATTTATTATGCACTGTGAATTTGACGACAAATATTTTTAAATAATTTTGTTTCTGAATATCTTATTTGCTTTTCAAAACTTAAGCTTAAATATAGAATATCATTCAGAAATGAAAACACACATGAAAATTGCAAATTGTAAAACGTTTGATTGGCTTATTTTTCTTATTTAAGTTTTATAGTATTAATTCTGTAATATTAATTCTATAGTATTGATTAATTCTATAATATTAATTTTTATTTTTAAACGAATATTTTGTCGTGGCATTTTACTTTTGTATAAACGCAGGGATTATTAAAATTTATGAGAGTAGTTGAAAATCGCTGAGAGCCAAATTTGGTTTAAAATTTTAATAAAAATTAATGAATATATTAATATACATATCGATTTTACATCCATCAAATATAATATGATAAAATGACGCGAGACACTTTATAAAGCAACTTTACGATATAAAATATGTATGTAAACATAATATGAGAAGACAAACAATATTACCGAATCAATTCACGAAGTTATCGCTAGTACAAAGACTTACTTAGAAGTTAGAAATCTAAACATTCTATATTGTTATTCCATATTTATATCTCTTGTACTACTACTACTACTACTACTACTACTACTACTGCCATTGAATCATTTGCGGAACTATGCAGAGAGCACGAATTTCTTTTTTTAAATAATTTAATCAACAACATTTTTCGATGTTGTAACGCATGTAAAGAATGCGTGTCCATAGTTCTGCTTTGAAATGTGTCCATAGCTCTGCTTTGATACTGTAAATATTTTTACGAGAAATTCAAATATAAAAAAAAACTGCAATTTAGTAACGTATTAATCGAGCTGTTGGATGCGCTGTTTAATCTTTCGGATGAATAAATTTGATTTATAACAGCTATCTAGCTTATTCGTGTTTTACATACATATTTATAGATGCACGTTTCATATTGCGGGCATTATGGCACGGATATGATGTGTTTGCAATTGGAATGCAAATTTTAATTATTTCCGTATTGAACAGCGTATTAAACGCGACAAGGATACGTGCGGAATTTGCGCCGTTGCGATTTTTTGTATCGCTGACTTTTTGCACTCCGCGATACAGATAGCTTTAACAGCTATCTTTGCAAATGCCGTGTGTCATTTTGTTAACAACCCCTGATTAGCTTAACAAGTCGTGATGTCGCCGGGCAACAACGTGAATGCAATAGATAAATTGCATACTATTGAAGTGATTCGGGTCGTTGCGGAAAACTATCGCATTCTCCGCCTCGTGTAGTTTTTTATCACAGTCTCTTAAAAAAGTGATATTACTTTTGCCTTTTAAAAAAATTAAATTATTACTCACCCAACGTAAAAAAAGCGACTGTTTTTTTCGCATGACTTTATTTTTTGCATAAAATTTTGTTATACATGTGATATTTTTTTGCAGCCATTTACGTAGTTTTTATAATAAATTTTGTGTAAAATTTTTAGCAAAAAAAATTTTTTTTAAAGAGAAATAGACAGTTTATAGAGAAGGTTTATTATAAAAAATGCGATAAACTAGATTCTGCATTATACATAAATAAGTGAAAAGCAATTTAAATACGTGAAAAAATTATATTAAGATTCAAGACAAATCTTTCGAAATACAATTGCAAATACAGTACGCTTTTAGGTGTTTAATAAATGTCACTTCGTTTAAGTGGTTTTACTTTTAACAAAAAACTTATATTTTATAAAGAACTTTTCTACTGGCAAACTCTCTTTCTCCCTCTTCCGGAGAGTTTCTTTTCTTTCAGTAGTTTTTCAATATTGCAATATTGCAAATATCGGAAATTGCTGGGAATAGATGCAGTATGACGATGGGAAGGTTGGTTACGACGTAGAAATTTTTTCGCAAAAAAAGCAAATTAAGCAAGTTAATCGGTACGTAAAGCGTATTGAGGTGCAGTTGTATTATTTCGAGGAAGAGATAATACGAATTTAATATTTTTTTTATTTTGTAACAAAATATAAATTTCAAATAACGTTTTACCGTTTGATTTGCGTTTTTACGTGTCGTATGTGCTCGCTGAAATAAACCTTTTGAAATATTAGTTTAAAATTACTTTTACGCGAAAGAGCTGCTTTTACATAAGCATATATTATTTTCTATTCGGCTGCCATTGCAAGCTTGACGCTGTATACCGATATATGGTGTATATCATCTGAAATTTTCAAGCTCGTAACTTCTGTTAATCGGATGGAAGGAAACCTCTATGGCGGAGTTTGGCAAGTTTCCCAAGTTTGACCTGTCTCTAGGACCCGGTTTTATACATGCAAATATCCCTCGTGTATACGCCCCTGGCAACGTACAACGTGAAAGTCCTTATTAATAGCAAGAAATGGATCTATCAACCTATCAGTGTCTCTGTTTATACTTGTACTTAATTACAAACAAGCTTTGATCTTACTCCTATACAAACTTTGAGAAAGCTTCTACTTAATGCAAGTCCTGGAATGTCAGTTTCTGATCCCCACGTCTAATTCTGCTCGTCTAATTTCTTTGCCGTTCTAAATGTCTTAAAGCTTCTACGGAAACCATGAAAATCCTTACATTAACTCCGGCGTACACGAATTTCACATACCCAAACGTATAAACTAGAGTAACTTGTTATAGTTAAATCGTAAACATAATTTTGTGTTTTATAGCTCGAACTTTTCGAACTTCTAATTCACTAAAGTATCTTGCGTATTTTTCGAAAGCAGTATTTAATTTCGATTAGCGACAAAAATGTTGAAAATTCGATTCTTTAAAGCTTTATTGTGTTCTAAAAGAAAGCATATTACGTTATTACGTTATTTATTTTTACAAAATATAAAATTGAAATATTATTAGATAATTCAATTTATATTCGACTTACATTTTAAATAACTTTCTGGATATACGAGAAAAGAAAAGGAGTATTTTTCCGAGCGCTCTCCTTTCACGCTTCGGAAATAGATATTGGTATCGCGCTTTTTCTTTTTTGTTATCGCGCTGGAAAAGTTGGTGGGCGGGATCCACTTCGGATAGAATAGCCGATACGGGATTTGCATCTGAAAAATGGCGACTGGTCAAAAGTGCATCCGCGCTTACGCATTCCAGATTTAAACTTCTGATTTTATTTCGCATTCCGATGTGACAGCGCGCGCGGCTGTATTACGAGCAGGTGTACAGTCGACGCGATGTCGACTGCGTTAGCCGCGCGATTTGTGCACTTGAGCCATCGGCGATTATCGCGCCTTTCGATCCGATCACCACATCGAACGTGCCTTTAATCCGCGGCATTGCTTTTGCAGCTGCATAAACCCGATAGTTTATGGGTTTATGTCGAAACACTTCAGGGAGAGCTTTCTGTCGGCTGCCTGCGGCGGATGGTGGATTTGCTGCTCCAGAAGAGGCTACCGATCGTCTGTGACAAGGCACCCCAGCCTCAGCCAGACTAGAACAACCAGCGTGAGGTAGGTCGCGCCCGTTGCTCGTTACGTCGATAGCGCTCTCGTTGATGTCGCCGGGGTGGAGAGGGGGAGAGTTACGAAATGCGCATATCGATCTCGCGAAATATCTCTTTCTTTATGTCGATTCATAAAAATGATGGAGCGTCAGCAATCTTCTCAGCGGCAGTTTAAAAGGTTGATCGTAATCTTCTCGTAATGTCCTTAAAAAGTTCCGTCATAATTCCCGCGCGAAACGCTTTTTTAATTTAATATAACGGGTTTCGCGTGGGAAAATATTTTTATTAAAAAAAAAAAGTTTTACTCCGGAGTCATTTATAGTTTGCACAAATCGGGACTTTTGCAAAATGGCGCGAGTGCGTTTGTGGAGTAGTTTATACACAATTTGCGTCCGGCAGCGTGCTAATTTGAAATGCGCGATTTCATTCCTGTTAAAATAAACTACGAATTACCAACGCTTGACGAACGATTGCAAGTGGCTGGTGGTGAACATAAAATCTTTCAATGAAAGCAACGAAAGCTGCACGTTCCGTAGAGAAAAGCTTTTGTGCGGTACCAGTGGCTTTTATAGCAGTTAGAGAATTATGATGGAAAATATAGATTGTGTGCTTTTATGGCGAGAAGTATACGCTGAAAGACGATTTCGCATCGGCTTTTATAGATCCTTGGCTTTTAGAATATAAAATATAAAATCGGCTTCTCTTCCCCACAAAAACGGATTTTTTTTTTTTTACAAAAAAGATAAGAATGGAAGAATATCCTCTGGAATACATCTTCCTTACTGATATGTGCTTTAAAAGTTTTGCATCAACTTTCACGTTCGCCATTGAATTTCGAGACCGTTTGCCCATCAGCAAAGATTTCGGCTATTCACCGGTGCGCGGTTTTGCAACTTGAAAATTTTCAACATTAACTTAAGCTAAGATTCGGCCAGAGTAAAGTCTGCTCCGTTTCTGCATGCATGATTCAGGTGGATTCGAAACTCCTTCCGAGAGTCGAAGTCTCGAAACTCGACCGATCTGCATCCCGTAGTGTATCCGTGAGGGCGCGCAGCCAGGTCGACTCTGACAGCCAGGGACCCCGAAAGCCCGTGCGAATGTCCGGCTAGAGTAGACGAATGGAGAGCACAAATTGATCGAGGTAAACTAAACAGTCAGTCAAACGTCGCCATTCATCTCGCATATTCACATTCTGACGTAACCATTCCGGTTCGCCGCTTTATTAATCTGTCGCAGCGGATTTTTTTCTTGTATCTGACTCCGCGGCCGATCGAAAGGTCGAATCGAGTTTCTTTTAGTTGTAGTAGCGTCCTGGAAGCATGGAGGAATTTTTAGTAGAATCATACGTTTGCTTCCGGGTGTTATTGCGAGAAAAGACGCCGTTCAATATTTATGAAAAGAAATGGAATATTTTAAGAGCATCTTGCGCGAAATTGTAGTAGAAGATCGCAAGTATATCAGGAGATTTTTACTTTTTAAAGAGGAGATTTTCAAGAGAAGAGATCTAGAATTTAAATGATTTTTAATATAAATTTTACGTATAAAATTATTTTCAATCATTTTTTAGTAAGTTAGATAAGTATATGTTTATAATAATTTAATTTCGGGGTTGATACTTGAGTGCACAATAAAATAATTATATTTATAACATTTCTGTTTGTCATAAAAATTTTGCATATTAATTTAAACTATTAACTGAAATAATTGCACATGTAGAAGCACTAATCTATTTCATTTCATTTTATTACAGTTTTTTTTCATGCTACTAATAGAAATATATTCAAATTAACAATATATTTTTTAATTATCTCGCTTCTGTTTTTCAAAAGCGTATTAATTATCTAATTTTATGTCTAACTAATTTTATTGGATTTTTTTGCACAAGTATTATTCGTTTTAAATATCAGTTTAATTTTTTATTTTCTAAACCGTACAAAAGAAACGCAAAAGTCCAATCCATTTTTTTAATTTGGCTTTTCGATTTGACATCGCAGCACCGTGAATAAAGGGAAATCCACATATTTGTAAATTGCGAATGACCGCAGTTGACCAATTTAATGGCGACAGACGAGCCGTGTCGCGCCCACGTTTCGACAACAAAAATAAATTCGCAGAAACAATTGTGACGATGTTTATCAAAATCTAATCAAAACGTCAAAATTTATTAAAAATCTATTAATTATTTCCGTGTTTGACGCATTTATTTATTTTTAAATATTTCAAGTATTCAATATCAATAATATACTATATATAACGGCTTTGAGCCATCGCGCGTTGTGCGAAATAAATTTATTTTATAACAAAAAGAGTAGCTTGGCTATTCGCGTCCTGATATTTTTTCTCGTTTTTTCTTCTTTCCTTATTTAATTTGTACATTCTGATTCTCCGTTGTGAGATTAATGTACTTAATTTTCGTACACTCTAAGTATCTCAATTTGACGTCAGTCTAATGTCTCTTTATAGAAAAATTAATTTACTTCGCACCAATAACCGTGTTTGGCTCGAAACCATTATACATATATTATTAATATTATCATATCGAGTCTCATATTTCAAGTATTTAAAGCACTTTTACGCGTATATTGAAAATATTCGTCCAAATGAATTAAATTTCAATATCTTTTTTATAGCGAGATTTCAATGAAACTTTATATATCGAGAAATATATATAACAGAGATCAAAGTATTATAAACACAGAATGTACAAAATGTTTCTCTTACGAATGTTTCCGATCTCATAATCTTTATATTTGGTATTTTAATTTTACATCACGAAACTTTGAACAAAGAAACATTCATGCATTTGTAAATTACGTGTGCATTTCTGCATAGCAGCAAAAAGCGAAATTTGTACAAAGAATCGGAACGATGCTTTTTAACAAATAACTAAATGTTATAGTAGCTTTGAAGAATTTTATAGCTGATAATTATTTATTTCTTAATTATTAGATTTTGCTTATCAAAATTTTAATTCTTAAAATTTAGATTAAGATATTTAATATTGATATTAATATTGATACTATTATATGTGTTTTTGAAGATATTTAATATTGAAAATAAAAAAGCTGTAAAAATATTTGCGGATTTAAAAAAATGTAACTTTTTTGCTTGTATTTTTTATACTTTGATTATTGCGCCATTAGTCATTATAACATTCTGAAAATAATCTTTTAATCGAACTTTAATTTAGTAATTTACGGTATCAATTTACTACCGCGAATAACAATTGCTGCAAATGATAATTGACTTTTGTGGTTCATAATGATTATAAACGAAATCAAAGAGGGTTATTTGCTAATTACACACCTATTTTCCATAATGCTAATCATATTGCTTAACGATTTTCGCGTTCAGTAAATATTTCAATGTTGTTTTTGCGTTATTCGTTTATCCGTAATATTTTATGTTACATCTTGCAGGTAAAAATATGCGAGCGTATTTAATACAAATGCGATTTATTGATATTTACATTTTGTGGCTCTGTTATAAGACGGCTCGCAGAAAATTTCGGCATTATGAAATGTGATTTTATTGCAAGACATAAGTAGTACACTCGACTCTAGTACCTATCAACGTTTTGATACACGAAGAGAATAATATTATACACATTTTGTGACGTATTCGGATTATTTTTAAGCTCTCTTCGGTGATATTCAGCTCTTCTGAAGTCTTTGGCGCATGATGTATGCATCTCGTTTCACAAATCCGCGGAGAAAAATATCACAAGGAAAAACATTTGGAGATTTCGGGTTCACTTCACAAATCCTCCTACAGTTCGAGCAGAGAAACTTCTGCAATAATTTTATAATCTTCCCATCCCCTCGTATTTCATCAGAAATGTTATCGCAAAGATATTTATTTACATTATTCGAATTCAGGTAATTATTGCACTTATTGAACGATTTCAGTTAGTTCATTTTAGGGACTAAAAAATTATAAGTAAAAAGAACGATAAAATTGTGTGGATCGATTGAAAAATTAGATAAATCAATTTTGCTGAATAAAAATTTTTGATCAAAAGAGAGGAATTAAAATAAGATCAGTCTTGATCTTCTTTCAGAAATGAATTTAGACGATCTTGCACGACTTTTGATTTTAAAAATTCACAATTTTTTTTTTCATGGAATGAAAAATCAAATGGATAGATTGCCACGGATCAATCTGCGAGTCATCTGCTTTGCGAAGCACGCTCCGCACCGGTGCGTGACGGGCGGCGTAGCGTTCGCTCAGTCAGATTTGCTCTCGTTGAAATGTAATCCGGATGTCTCTCGCGACTTACTCTCTCTTCAAGCTCCGTCAGATAATGAAATTCCATCGCCACGTGTCTTACCCGACCTCTTTCGCTTGTTATTTGCCATCTCTCTCCGTCTGCTTTCAGATGGACTTGATTCTTTCTTCATCCCTGGACGTCGAGGGAGGTCTCTATTAGATAGGAGACTTTCGACAGGGAGACGCGAATCAAGTCGAGAGAGGTCGCGATTGTGGGATTTGCCGAAGTGAGATGCCGCCCTGCGACCTTCCAGCCGCCTACGAGGACTGTTTCGAGACGAGCGGAGTGAGTGACACGCTTTAAGTGACACAGAAGCTTTGGTGAATCGACGGCGGCTCTGCGAGACTCGTTCAGGCTTTTGTCTCGCGGTCAATGCAAGTTCCTGTGAAATAGGCTCATGATTTATTTATTTATCCTCGTCGTGCCACGTCTCGACAGCATTATTGCTCATACATCCCAGTGAGCGGCGTCCATAGTTGGACAAATTCGGACAATTTGGACATTAAACCAATCACGATAAGGTAGGTGGATAAGAATCAAAGGGCGCTTAGATTAGGCGTGGACAATCCGCGCCGTGGACACGCCAGGGTAGCTAAACTATAAATCTCACATAAATGTATCCTGGATTTAAAAATTTAGCGAGGATGTCTCGCCAATTAAATTGTTGATAAGCGAGAAAGACAAATCGGTTAGTTTGCGGAGTTCTTCTCGCGTCGATGTATTGATTAATGTATTTTGAACGTTGACATGTGTCTCTTTAATTCACAGCACTCTCTGTGCTTAAGAATAAGATAAGAATAAAATAAGAAATAGGAATGAAACACTCTCGCCGTTCGCTTTGGCGCGAGACGCGCTGTCTGATTCTGAGACTCTGTTTATTCCGTGTAATGCGTGTACTACCTCAGGAAAAACTCGGAGCTGGGCAGCGCATATTTAGCTGCGAACACGCCGGTGCGATTTCCATTCAATATTTATACTGAGTATCTCAGAGAAAATTCAAAGTCCAATAGTTGTATTGTATCGGTAAAATGCGCAGTGAGAAATACGGACCAAAGTAAGTGCATCGGGAAAACTCGATGAATATTTAAGAATGTTTCGGAAACAGCTCGATACGTTTCGCTCGAAGTATTAGACGCAGAATATATTGCAGCCGATAATCAAGTATGCATTGTTTAGGAAACATTTGCGAAATATTTGGTGGAATACTTCTCAACAGTTTCTGCACTGTGAGAGGAGTTTGTGAAAGCTGCTGCTTATTGATAAAATATTTGCGTGTATTTATGTATCATTTCTGTAGATCAACAATTCAAAGTTTAAAGCCACGGTGATGACTATAAATTTATTATAGATATACTTGCAAAGATGTATCATTCAAGACTCCGAGCCACGTGCTTTCGAGGATATATGAGGCTTCTCGCATCATAATTGCGTAGTTAGATTAATTAACTTCAGCGAGTCAATGCTAAAAAAACTCGCCAGCAACCTTTAGATGAGTAATTTCTATTTGTTACTCAAAATATTGCATTTTCTCTCTCTTTTTTTTTTTTTTGCGCTTTTATGCTTTTCAATCCTTAATATGGCTATGAATCTATCTTGTAGTAATAATAATGATACAAGTTGATATATTAAAAGACTTTCTCATATATGTATGATTCTAAGCGGAGCCGTGAAACGCGGTGCTCGCATCGATAGTCGTATAAAAAAAAACTGGGGAAACTAAGTCGCTAATCAATGTATAGAGGATTATCTGAACATTTTAGATTTGGCGAACATGATAACACGTAGTTCTGGCGCCCGATTCTGTGCCCGCCGAGGAGATAATGCTGTGAGTGCCATAAGGCTAGTGTAAACAAGTTTCGGAACTTGAACAAGAAAAAAAATGTAACTAAAAGCACACGATCATTTAATGACACTTGTGACACATTATCTTGTCGCGTGACAGAATTAAAATCAGTGTTTGCGCAGTGTGTAACAGCTTTCATCGTTGTATCTACGTGTTTGGACAAAATGATGAAAACGAAAATCTATATATATATACAGGGTGCGTCAGCTAAATCCGGACAAAATTAAATTAGAATTCCTTGCTACGTGTGAATTTAGGAACAAATGATTGTTAATGTTCGCGTTAGTCAAATGTTTGTGTAAAACGTGTATAACCTTTAAAATGTCCGAGTTAATAAAATCAAGTGCGGAATACAATCGAAGAGCGGCGATAATTGAAGCGCTTCGCGCCGGACGTTTAGGAAGGAGGTTTACCTCCGGATTTTGAGGACTGTAATAAAGCCATGGATGGAAACTACGGCCTCCGGGAGGCCGTACATTGTTCAACAAGACGGTGCACCGGCTCACACAAGCCATTTAGTGCAAAATTGGCTTAACGATAACGTGGATGCGTTTTGGTCCAAGGAATTCTGGCCTCCTAATAGTCCGGATTTAAACCCCCTAGATTATTATGTTTGGGGCGTTATTGAAAGAGTGTCTAACAAGTCCAGGCACCCCAATGTGGCAACTCTTCAAGCCGCTATTGAAGCAGCATTCGTTGATTTAGACAAGGAGCAGTTGAAGAGAGCGTGCTCGCGCTTCAGGCAAGGGATTGAAGCGGTGATCGCAGCAAACGGGGGTTATATAGAATAATTGTATTCAGAGAGGATCCCTTAAGCAACGTACAAAAAAATATTTCATAATTTCAAGTTTTTTCTGAGTCTAAAGAGTGTTTTAATAAACAATTTGTTTTGTCCGGATTTAGCTGACGCACCCTGTATATATATATATATATATATA